TTTTTTTTTTTTTCTGATTCTCTCCCCCATCCCACTGGGGCGGGGGGAGTGAGCAAACAGCTGGGTGGTGTTTAGCTGCCTGCCAGGTTAAACCACAACAGGTGTCTTTTCGTATCCAAATAATCATAAAACTATTGAATTAAATGATGAAGCATTTTTCTTCTAAAAGACTTTTCCCAGTTCTCTAATTTACAAAAATAGACTTAAATCTCGGTTTTGCATACAACAGACTTGCTATTTATTCATAACATAAACCTATTATATCTTCAAACCTACTTTCACAAAACTCTCCCTTTTAGGATAGGATGCAAATTCTCTTTATTATTTAAATGTATGGTGGAAGGTAAAATAAATAATTCTCAAGAGAACTAGGAAAAACATTTCCTTGCTTTCAGTGTTTGGCTCTAATTAAGAACATGTAACACACGATGAGCTATTCCAGATTTGCTGGCTTGAATAACCTCAGTGCAGACTGCATTTACAGTTTATATAAAACAAATACATCTGGCAAGGCAATATAACTTTTCCTCAAATATGTTTACTTGTATAACAATTGTTGTTAGTTTACTTACCAAACACAGCCTATCAACTCCAGTTTTGCAATTTGGCCTATGCAAGTGGGCTCCTATTCCCAGATAGATACACAAAATAGCGCAATGAATAGGATACTTAAAAATGGGATACTCAAAAATCAGAACAACACTATCCTAAAATAAGCCATAGCCATTTAACAGTTAAGCTCATTGCATGCAAGTTTCCATTACGTCCCTTTATACCTGGATGAATTTATGACAGATCTGAAACAGTTGCACAACTTCAGATATGTTTTTAGATTTGAAAGTTAGAAAAGATGGAATTTCACCATGTTGGAAAAGCATTTTAAAAAAAAAAAATATATATATATCTTTCAGTGTTTCCCTGTTCCAAACCTGACTGTCATTTTTTTACGTTATTAAATAATAGTAACAATAGCACTAATTTTGCTTTTTTCAAACAATCTGAAAATCTTCTCAGGCTTTCCCAACCTGTTACTACCAGGGTGCAACAATGCCAATTCTAAACAGAAAAAAGGATTTATTCATGTTTTTTAAGTCAGCTTTACAGAATTTTTAGAACAATAGTTCTATATACCAACCAAAAATTCTGGAGCAGTGAAAACATATACTAAAAGAGCCACACCTGGCAAGGAAGGGATTTTCTTGGCATATGAACTGTAGGAAGAAGCAAAAGAATGATCCCTCCCAGGTTCTGGCAAAAGATATGCAAGCCAACCACAGCTGACATTCATACAGCTTCAGACACGTCATTCAGTGCCACGGCCTTTTTCCCTAAACAGGGGCTGATGATGCGGTACCTGAAGCACCCATCAAAACTAGCCTAGAGCTGCTGCAGCCCTGGCAACTGTCATGGAAAGCACAAGGACTTCATGTTTCCCTAACACCATCTCTACACTTGAGCAAATGGTCCTTTTTTGAGCCTTTCAGATGTGAAGCATGAACTCATAGAATGCTATATTAAAATGCTCAGTTTCCTAGATGTTAATTGCCATCGCTACCATGCTATAACAGGTCTCAACATCTTTATGAGGCAGGTATAAACCCAGGTTTTGCCAGTTGGCAGCCTGAGACAGACACACCTGAAATACCTGGAAGTTATGAATAAATTTGGATATGCCACTGCAATAAATCAGAAAAAAACCCCTCTGCCTGTCTGAAAAATCAATACATATTAAGATACCTGACCTTGGAAATTAAAGTATGGTAATTTGGCCAACAGAGTTTAAGTGATTTAGCAGAAGTTACACAGCAACTCTGTGGCAGACCTAGAAAATAAACCCATTATTTCTTAGGTGTGGCCCTAACTTCTAGATCATACTTACAACCCTGTAAAGAGAGGAAATACCTACAAATATTAACTCTCACAAATACATCAAAGCCAAGTATAACAGAGTTTCCTAAATTATGTCCATCACAGCAGTCATTTCCACCATTCATTTCCGTTAGGTCACTAGTATTTGTGGTCAGCAAGAAATATTAAAGGATAAGAAATGTTCTGTTTTTACTGCCCCCAGTGAAAAGCAGACAAAATCAAATCCTGCCATCTTCTCCTGGTCTCTATAACAAAAACCTGAATGATTCACAGATGGTGACCTACAACTAATAATACCACAATCAGTTGCCACCCTCACTATGTAATGGAAGTACTAAACCAGGTAGGCTACTACTGGTGGTGTTAAACCAACTTTAGGTTGTTCCTAGATTACATCTGTAATCCAAAGTAGTAATGTCCATTACTTATTTGATTAAATAAGCCTTTACAAGAGGCTTCTCAATTTACACTGATTTTATTATAAGAACCCCTAATTTCAATACAGTGCTTAGAAATAATTAGCATGAACAAACAAGATATAACGTTGGATCCTAAGTATCTTTTTTGTTCAGAAATCCATTCTTTTCCTCTTAGCTACTTAGATGCTTCTTACAAATAATTTAGCTATTTTCCTTCAATACCACTGTTGGACACTCGTCAATATTCCTCAAGGAAAAACTCTACAAGCCAGAAGCCCAAGAGGCCAAGATTCTTCTGCTCAAAATGTAAATGCCTGCTAACGTGCTGCCACTTAAATTAGGCCAACGAAGTTAAGTAGTAAAACTATGCAACGTAACACCACAGCAGTGGAAAAGCACTTATCATTGTCTTGGTAATAGAAACAATGCACCAGCACAGAATGCTTCACACCCACATCACTGGATTTGCTCTGAAGTTCCAAGCAGCAAGATTACATTGCCCAAGCAAATAAATAACACTGCCTACTATTTTCACTGCTGAACAGTGGCTAAAGACCTTCAGACACATTTCTTTCCTCCTCACTTCCTAACAAGAGGGGGAAAAAAAAAAGTACCCTCTTTCAGGTCAGGTCACATTCTGTGATCAGTAAACAGATTGAGGCAGGGTTTAATAAAAATCACAGCACAAGAACACTTGAAGAAAATAATCCCTGTGGCATTTAGGGCTCCCTCTTCAGTAAAATATTGCAACACTTTCCACAAGGAGATTTGCCACTTAGATCTTAGAAGACTCTTTATTAGTGAACACAACAATAAGTACTTGCTTAGCTGTCCTCACTTAAAGAAGGCTACTTTGGCACCATGCTCAAACCAACACCAGAAAAAAAAGAGGGGAAGGTCTCTTGGCCTTGTTATGCTCTATGCATCCTTAGCTGTACTGCTAGAGTATGGCACACTGCAGCTGCTTGCTCTGCAGCAATGCAAACAGCTGTGGAGAAGCAGCCAAAATAAAAAATTTACTAACCCTGACACTATGTAGAGGTAGCCATGAGAAGTGCAATCCCCACCAACGAAATCCAATGCAATAACATCCTAATATAAAATCTGCTATTTCCAAACATAACGCCTTCCTCAAGCTACAGATCTTCGTGTCAGTCTTTGCTTCTTTCGTTTCAATAAATATGAAGTTTTGTGTTCTCCAGCTACAGACAGAAAGAGAGAACTTCTTTATCTCCTGAATCCTTTAAAGCTTCTGAGCCAGAGGGAAGAAAGAGGAGGAGAAAGCCTGTGCCCTAAGTATCATATTTGGAGTGCTATCCCCTTGTGACTGAACCGAATCTCTGCATCTGCTACAGCTATTAGCCTTCTCCAAATAGCAGCTGAAGCAATATGGAACAGACTTGGTCCCTAGGTAATTTCCCAACTACTCATATGGTTCTGTATAGCAGCCACGAAAAAGAATAATTCTTGCTAATTTAATTCTGCTGTTGCTTGAAAAACCTATGACCCAAAGCAGAAATGTTGGACGTGTCTCCAGATTCAAGATGACGTTGCAAACTCAAAAGACAAAGCTTTATGAGATTTATTTCCAATTTTTTCTTTCAGAGGACATCACTCCTTGCAAAAGAGGTGGAAGTTACCCCCCCTCACATTTTAAAGGAAGTCATACATTTTGTAGAAATTATTAAATCTTCCTCACTTGCAGTTGCAAACCTTAGGTTTAAGACCTCTAGTCAAACTGCCAGCTCAAATACAATATTCGCTGATAATATGGAAGAGGAAATTTCCATACGCATAGTCCTAACACTGTAGAAGACATGCCAAAATGGAAATTACATTACAGCAATGATTAATGACAGCAGATTATTCTGCATAAGAGCAAGCAAGAAACTGTCCAGTGAATTCTCCAGGAAAAAATACAGCCCATCTCTTGCACATAGCCAAATGTGCAAGCCAATCCTCCCACAAACAGGAGCATAAACATAACCTAAAGAAAAATCCAGCTTTTATATTGCCAACTTTTGTTTTGTTCTGATATTTCTGAGAACAGGACTCAGAGCTAGGGAAA